CATTCCATAATCCATATTCATTCAATTATCGTAGCATCATTGTCGTCTTTGTGGTAAAGCAATATGCGATGTTTGTAGTTTAAATCGTTCAACATTACCTAAATATGGTTATGAATTTCCAGTTAGAGTTTGTAATGATTGTTTTGGTACAATTTCAGATGCTGAGTAAGTAGTTTTTTTTAAATTGAATTTCTTAACAAAAAATGACGAAATTTTCTTTCTTTTTTTGAATTTCCAGTCGAATTTCATTAGCAAAATTTTATGATAGTAAACATTGTATAACACATATGAATATTGATGAAACAAATAATCTAATGATTACATCGGGTTTTGATCGTATTATTAAGGTAAGTGTTCCTTGTCATCATTTTCATTAAATTTTTCCCTATCTTGTCATTTTTCAACAGCTCTGGGATATAAGTAGCCTTTTTGGTTAAATTTTGTGACTAAAAAATGTGTGACTGGATTAACCCGAAACAACAACATTCGAATCGAACGATCATGATAACCAACACAACAATACACACATAATTCTTTCTTAACGCGTTCGCTACCGGAGATTTCGAAAAACACATAGAACTACAGCAAATAAACGACGCATATATGCGTCGCTGGTAGCGAACGCGTTAACTTGGTTTTCTTTTTATTTCTTTCAAACACATTCATTTTATCGATTAATTAGTGTGTTGTATTCCATAAATAATAACAATAATAATTTTCATTTTTTTTAAAAATCTTTTTTTCTTTCTTTGGATTCGATTTTGAGAAAGTAATTTGCAATAAAAGTTGATTAAAATTTGATTGTTGAATTTATTAAATTAATTTTCTCGTGGTTTGATTGACAGCATTTATACATCGATTGATTGATTAATCCTATGATCGATTAATCCTTAATAATAATCACATATTTGACATACAAAGTCAAACACCTCATGTGTCAATTTTTTTTTTGTTAATCTCAATCATTGGATCCTGTGATTTTTGTGAAGAAAAGAAAGAGAAACGAAAATCTATAGAGATTCTATTCATAGACATTTTTTTTTCTCGTAATTTTCTTAAATCGCTTGTCATTATCATCGTCGTCGTCGTCGTTTGTTTGTTTGTTGTGTTAGAAATGGGTGTTAAACCCTTGTAGAAAATTTTCATTTTTGTTTGTTTGTTTGTTACCAATTTCTAAACACGATTTGCCCTCAAAAAAATTAAGAGAAAAACGTGCGTGTGTTTTGTTATTATTGAAAAAAAAGATTTAATTTAGAAAAAATTGATGATAATAATGATGATTGTCATCATTATTTATCATACGGGTGGCATAAATGTGAAATATTGTATCATCCACATCTGAATGAATGAAAGGAAATTTTGTTACAAAAAAAAGAAACTAAGATGATGACGAAACACACATATAATGAATATTGAAATATGGCAATTAGATAGAAAGAAGACGAAGAGACGACGAAAATGGTCAAATCATCATCCTCATTATCATAATGATCGACGATATTCATTTTATTTTTGTTCAATGTCAAAAATGGAAATTTTTTCTTCTTTTTTTTCGGTCATCATCATTGATCGATCTACCGCAGTCAATAAAAATGGGAAGGATGATGATGATTCGAACGATTCGATTAATCGAATGTTTAGAGAAAATTTCCTAGGAAAAAACAAACAACAAAAAAAAACAAACGGGAAAATTCCCAGGAATTTTCGTAATTTAATTTTTTTGACAAAAATTTTCAAATTCAAAAAAATGGTCAAGGATTTTTTTTCATTTCAAACGTTTGGGTTGGCCTGCCAAATTGGCGGTGATGCATTGAGAATGGATGGCCTTTTTTCTCTTTCCATTTCCATCTCCACTATATGATTATGAAGGGCAGCAATTTTTTTTGTCAAAAAGAAAAAAAAATTGCGGCAACACCAAATGACAAATACGTGGATGTTTTTTAATCTCATCAACAACAACAACTACCTGTTGATTTTA